ATGATGCTATTGAATTACTAAGTCATCTGCATCTTAAATTTAATATAATTTTCTCTTTGAACCATGATATATCTTGTTACACCACTATACATAACTTCTGCTGCTTTGCAGTTACAATCACATCCTACCTCCAAATTGCCATGTTAAAAATGGAACCTCCTTACCCTGTTTCATCTACATTATCCATCAATTAATTCACACTTATCAAGAACAAAATCAAAGAATTACAGAAAATTTGTAGGTGGGTTAATGTCATATAAGTTGTCTTACATGGCAATAGTTCACAGTTGAGGTAGTAATTTTTTTTATGTAATGAGAATTATCCCTCAGTAAACTGTATTTTCTCTGTCCTTTCACTTTCTCTAGATGTACAGTGGGCATTGATTATTTATGGGTTTCTTGGCACCTTTACCTTTGTCTACTGTCAATGGATCCCAATTTTCTAGATACGAAATCATCTCAGGCTAAATGTGAAGGACTTTGGACTTTTAATGTTCTATCCTTTTCTTTGGTTAAGTGACTGGTATGGCTCAAGTGAGTCACTTAGACTATCTCTTTGGCTGTAACTTCTTCAGTCACAAAGGATGAAGACAGTAATGTGTCATAAACAGATTTAAGCAGTTCCTGCTAACCATATGTCCAGGAGTGTTGAGGTTGCTCTCTTTTTCTCCTCCCTGCTCCCTTGCCTTGATGCAATGCTCATATTTACATTATTTCTTTGAACCCCTTAATAACTTCTGTTGTTTGCACCCAACAAACCCCAAAAGGACAACTAAGCAAACTATATTTTCCTGTCTAAGTTCTTTAAGAATAGCCATTACATGTGAAGGCTGTCAAGAAAATTTTAGCAAGGTACCCACACTTGTTCAGACATACTCTTCTCTATTTGACTGTTATCATTCTTTTCACCATACAACTTTAACTTCAGTGACATCAAATCACAACTTCTTCAACAAATGGCTTTCACCTATCTTCATGTAGAGAATAATTCATTCCTGTTTGTGCTGTCCTCATTTCAAATGATTAATTTTAACTTCTTCTTCAGTGTTTTGCTTAACTTCTTCAAGAACTTATTCCTAATTGTGTTACCTTACTTAAAATTTTCAGTGGAGTAAGTCCTAAGGTCATGACCTCAATAAATCCAGAAAAGTACAAAACTAAGTATAACAGTTAGAACTCTAAAATCAGACTCCTTGAGTTTAAATCCCTTCATTGTCCTTTTTTATCTTTAGCACACTATTTAATTCGGTGTTTTCATTCATTTTACTTGAATTATTGTAAATGTTAAGTACTCTGCAAGTTTAGATCAGCAACTGGCATATTTTGCATGATTAAATATGTTGTAGCTATCATTCTAAAGTATACTTTTGATGGTTAGAATGGGATCAGTACTAGTAGGCTCATTTATTTATTTGAATGTTTGGTTTCCAGTTGGTAGACTGATTGGAATGATTAGGAGATGTGATGATGTTAGAGTAGGTGTGGCCTTGTTAGAAAAAGTATGTCACTGGAAATAGGCATTGGGACCCAGTTTCTCTTTCTTCCCACTACTTATGGATCAGGATAGGAAGCTCAGAGCTACTTTTCCAGCCCCATGCCAGTCTGCTTTCCATGAGGATGATAATAGATGAACTCTTTGAAACTGTAAGTAGACACCTAATTAAATGCTTTCTTTTACAAGATTTGACTTAGTCATGATGTCTCTTCACTGCAGTAGAAGAGTAACTAAGACTGTATTCCTACACTATTATTTTGACCATTCCAAACTTTTAAATGTGTTTTTCATTTATATCATGAGTACTGTGATAATTGTTCAATACAAGTATATTAAAGTAATATATAAATAAATGTTTGTCTACAGAGTATTACAGTTCAAAACATTTAATGGAATGTTACCTCATTTCTCATAATTAACTATTAAAGATTGGTATGTTTGTTTTAAAAATTATATATGAACCCTTTATTTCTTCTAATAAAATCATCCCATAGTTTACATCTTATTGTCCTCTCTCTTTCTCTGTACATATGCTCTCTCCTTCCCCCTCTCTGTGTGTATATCAGTGTGTATATATAAACAAATGGAAAATGTAAACACGCACATTATTTAGAGGCATTTTGTTGACCAAAAAATAACTAAACCTATAAAAGGAAAGAGTTGAAAAATGTTTTTATGAATTACTTTATTATAAGGGAAAGAAGAAAGACTATCTGTCATAAGAAAGTTAATAGGGAAAGTCTTCCTTAATTCCCCCACCCCGACACACACTTCTGTTCTGCGAGAACAGAATCTCTCACAGAAACAGGAGTTTACTATGTCAACTAAACTGGCTTGCTACATTGGCCCAGGGATCATGGCTCTGATCTTCAGTATTGAAATTATAGATGTACACCATCATGGCTGACTTTTAAAATGTGTTGCTGAGGATGTAAATTCAGGCCACCACAATTGCCCAGAAAGTATAAAGTATATATATATATATTATAAATAATATTTTTGTGGCCCTAAGTTTTACTCTTGAGCAATATATGTTAATTTGTTTCTAAGTTTAGTTTGGAACTACATTTATATATATTTTTGAAGCATACCGTGTTAAGATATTTTTCTGTAAAAGACTAATTCATCCGCAGAATTCTGTATGTCAATCTCTTCTCCAAATGATGTGTTTACAGACCTATTAAAAATGACTAGACCATCTCTTGTCCATGACTACAGCAAATAGACTTTTGTATGAAGCTATAGTGTTAGGAACATGATTCAAATACTACGAGTATGTAGCTTTCTAGGTATTGCCATGGAACCTAATATCAATTCCTAACATTGGTTGAGTATTCACAGTAAGAAATATAAGGAAGAAAAATTTAATACAGCACACTATACAATTCTCATAGTTACCTGTAAGGCTCATGGTTAAGTCTACATCCTAGGGATAGACAATCTCAAGTTTAGTAAGGTGGAATAACTCATCCAAGATTTTACAGCTTTGAGACTGAAGCCAAAGATCCACAGCCTATACTTTAAGAATTATAACAGTCTGCCTCCTCTAGCAAATGATATTCCTCGAAGTGCTGTTATGTTGCTATAAGTGTTAAGATGATATTTCTGCATCATTCCAGTACAAATGTGAAATGATCAGCAAAGTCCATGACCTAGGCTATGTACTCAAATACATCACTAAAAGTGCTAAGTAGAATTACAGTTATTACTACAGAAAATATACATGGGAATGAGGAATACAGATTTAAGATTCATATGAGAATCAGAACACTTCTTCTGGTATCAGATTGATGGGGCGTCTATGAGCCCCAGACGTTTTCCAGAAAAATAAATGTGGCTATGTAATTTTATACGTTATAAAATATATAGAAAAGATTTATATGTATAATATTTAAATATTTTAATATATCTGTCGTCATATGAGAAATGTGAATGGATAGGTCACAAAGATTAGGAGAGTGACTTGACCATGATCATGTCAGTTGTAATTAACTACAAAAGCCCACTACATTTGGTTCTTAAGAGTACAAGTTACTATCTAAAATTTGTTTTCTTTTGATATAGACATGGTCTTCTATACAATAGAGGATGGCCTTGAACTCAAATCTTCCTGTGATCACTACCCAGAACATCGGCTTCAAGGTAGTTTAAATGTTACTTGTTATTGAATCATCAAAATCATTCTATTGCTACTGATGCTACTGAATTGCTATAGGACCCACAGCTCTGACTCACTTCTTTCTTGACTTTCAAAATCAAAAAAGAACAAAAAAAGAGAGAAAGGAGGAAAGAAAAGAAAATCCTGTAACATTCAAGTACATTTTGATAGTTTGAATAAGAATGCCTACCATAGGCTCATGTCCTTGAATGCTAGGCCTATAGGGAATGGCACTATTTGGAGGTGTGGTCTTGTTGGAAGAACTAGTTTACTATGGGGCAGACTTTGAGTTTTCTTATGCTCAAGCTACATCTAGAGTAGCAGTCTTCTTCCACTGTTTGCAGATCAAGATGTAGAACTCTTAACTCCTTCTCCAGTATCAAGTCTACCTGAACAATATTATGTTTTCCACCATGATTATAATGAATTGAACCGCTGAACTGTAAGCCAGCACAATTAAATGTTTTCCTTTATAAGACTTGCCACGATCATAGCATCTCTTCAGAGTAATAAAACGCTAAGACAGATGTTCAGTATAACTTATTGTTTCTTTAGATATTCTTCAATTTTTTAACAAGTAAAATGACTACTATGTATAAAACTATCAAAATTAGATTTCGTATGGATGAAAAATATAAAAGCAAAAAACTCTACATATTGTATTTGTAGCAGCTAGGTAAACCACATTTATAGCAACAAATTCTTGAATTTCTCATTGATCAGATAATTTCAACAAATGGATTTCAATGAAGGTGAGAAATGAGATGTATTATTAAAATGTGTTTATTTGGCTACTGTGAGGCATAAAACCTAATGTTGAGATCAGGCTATTTAAAACAAGTTACATTTTGTTGCTTGTCTTATTTATTCCTAACTCTCAATTATCCTTATTACTTGAGGCAGAAAACTGGCACAGATAACTCAGAAGAGTAGATAATAAACAAATCCCAGATTATTATCTTTGTCTTTGTAATATGTTATGGTTGCATAGTGCCAAAACAAACAGTGTAAATGAAATCAGCTCAATTGAGCTAATTATTTTGTATCAAAGAAAATTTAAAAAAACAGTTATTTACTGAATTTAAGTGAGGCACCTATGATTGTTAGTTTTATGTGTTTCACCCTAAATTTTCATCCCTTTTATATTATGATCGCTTCACATAATAACATTAATTATGCCTTGATTCTATTTAGGTTGAACAGAGTAGAGTGGGTAGTATGTTTGTTAACAGAGAAACGTAGCCTAAAACCTGTTAGTAAGTCATAAAGGAGAGGGACGTGGCAAGTGAAAATATACCTTGTAAAGAAAAATCTCTGACAGACTGAATATTACTGTTTTTTCCATACCTTCTGTTTGATGATCATTTCATTGATGTCTTCCAGATCACCCACCATCACCCTCTGTGATTTTATAACTCGATCAAGAAGAGACAGCCAGTCTGTAAGTTCTGTCCAAGCTCGGTTGAAGTCTGCCAGTGCAGGTACCTCCAACAGCAAAGAGGATGGCATTTCTAGTTTGGAGATGACAGTTTCCTTGGTAACCACAGGTTGTGTCACTAGAGTAACAGTCTGACTAGCAGCTAGTGTTTTTGAAAGAAAGGAGAAAAGAAAAAAAAAGGAAATATGAGGAACATAAGCAAAACAGCTAATTTTAGTAACAATCAATGAATATTAATTGAGAAGTACCAGTTTGAGGTAAGATTTCTGACAAACTATTTAACAATGTGTATACTTGATAAGGCAGTACACCATAGAACATTTGAACATGTTTAATAATCTTCAAAGATATTTTATCTTACATCCATAACTTAATAAATGATTTTAATAGTTTTCAGTAAAAGTCATAGAGTGTAAGCACAGATATTGGGGCATTTCCAGGTAAGATTTATCTATATATTGTCCATTCAAGGAATAAAAAGAAAAACTACAGACTGTATAACGTCATATTTGTGACTTCTGATTTCCTCGAATAAAAATATATGTAATAGAAAGGATCTCTCTGTATCTTTCAGTGGAAAAACTTCACATTTTAACCTCTGTTTTGGCAGTAAAGTAGATAATAGTGCAGAAAAAGCAAAGCATATTATTTTTGAAAACTGAGAGGTAGTTAAGCTTTTCTTTTGTATATGAAACACAATTTCAAGGTCATTAAATTATAAATTAAAGTTAGTAGTGTTGAATACTTTAATGGGTAAGATACGAAGTCTTAGGATGAGGCACATGGGTTAAGAATCCTGCTGTCTGCCTTAGGAACTCTGAGACCTTGCTTAAGTTATTCAACCTTTCTAAGCTTCATCTTGTCTTCCCAGTAAGAGAAGAAAAGTAACAGAGTAAATGTCACAGGGAAAGTCATGCAAACTCAATGCTAATGCAAGCAATGTACAAAGAAATGCCACAGAACATTATTATTGTTGTCAGTGTCATGATCCTTCATCGTTGTCGTCATCACAATATTACAAAAGTGCTACTATCTAGTCATTAATATAGAGTATTACAATTTTATAAAAATGTAGTTGATTAAAAATTACTTTTAAAACTAGGGTCACAAGTACGAGATAAAGATTGAAAATGTAGAAAATTGGGGGAAACTCGGTCTGCAGTCTGTGTGCTGCTCTCTATGGACTGAAACATGCCCAGTTGAATTTGCTGGTATGAAAAGAAGTCTAGAAACAACACACAGGGTGGTGATCAGAAGTCAGTGACAAAAGGAAGCAACAGTTAATCTGCTTTATAGACAAGAGTGACAACAATATTACAACCAAGAGTCCAGAAGCAATGAAACCCTTGACGATGTGGTTCAGTAGGGAAGCATTCTGACAAAACAGGAAAGGGCATCTCAGTGAAAGATCTCATAGGAGTGTCCACTCATGGGAGCTGTTCAAGGAATATGAAAATAAAGATCTTCACATATGTACTCTGAGGTGACAATGCACTCATTTCAGTGGCTACATTACTGTTCATACTTTTTAGGTGGTCTCGTCATTAAGAAGATTGGAGAGATGAAGGGATGCATCTTCTCTTTCTAACCTCCCAGGAACAACTGACACTTCCACATATAGAAGTGTAAGTCAGAATGAAATGTGTTGGAGATGTCAGAATTGAAATGAAAAATTAACACTGAAGAAATGAAGAAATACTCTCAAAGTCATCTCACTGCTAAGAGGGTATTTCTGTAAAAAAAAAAAAAGAAAAGAAAACCCTAATCTGAAGAGCTATCATCTTATGATTGTAGTAAAGAGAGTAAAGAGTTGTTTGTACCCTTGCACACTCTTCCCCTACTGTATATTAAGTCTAGAATCATAAAAGGAATCCCAGCTAAGGAGTTGGATCCTTGGAAGCAATGTATAGGTAGGGTTGAAAATAGAAAATTAAAATATAACTGTAGGAATTTACTGCAGATCAGTAGGCAGACTTGAAAACATGGACAACATTAACACCTCCCATTTTTCTCTCCTCAATCCTCAATCATTTTTCCTTTCCAATGTTAACTGCTACAAAACACAGAGTTCATCTGTATTGTCAGTATTTGCATGGGTATAGGATGATATACTGGAAGATGTGTATACCATTAGGTGTCACATATCTGAAGACCTCTCTTTCTCTCTCTCTCTCTCTCCCTCCCTCCTTCCCTCCCTCCCTCCCTCCCATCTCTCTCTGATCTCTCCCTCCCTCTTACCATTTCTGCAGCTATCAACTGTCCATAGCTTTTCTACTTAGAGTGATCAACTGCACACTCGATATAAATTTCTGGAAGGGTAAATGTAGAGTATGTCTAAATTTTTTGCTACTTAGATTATTTTACCTAATTATTAAAAAAATATTTACTATATTTTAATTTGTATGTCCATGTGTTTCATGACTTCTACATCTGCAACAGCAAAGGAAAGTATAGAAAAAACAATCTCAAATGACATATAAAGTGACTGTTAGAAAAATAATAGAATTTGATTTATTGTGTATTATAACATTAACCTCCTATGTCAATTCCTTAAGTCAGCAATATCTTCAGTTTAGAAGCAGTACTAGAGTACCTTACCTCATCATGCCTAAAATAATAGAGATTACCTATCCAATGCTGTGTTAGAATAAATGGTCAGGCCAGGTATTCATAATAGAGATGTATTATCAAAGGCATGTGGTGTAGCTGAAACTCAAGAGGATTTAAATAATTCACCTAGGGTTATATAGCTAAGATATGGCAGAATAAGTGTTTAATCCCAACAAACTAGACTTCAAATGTTTCTGGTAGTGCAATTTCTGAACCAAGGTGTTTTTCATTTTCTAGCTTTTTTTTTCTCCTTTGATTACAAAAGTAGGGAGGGCCAGCAACTAAAATGACTAGCTTTATTTTCTCATATTAGTGTTTGACACTCCATTACCTACTCCAAGTAGTGGCTCTGTCTACATTTTTTATTCTTTTGAAATTAGCTCAAATGAAAGTCAGTAAGACATCTCAATGACTAAAGGCACTTCTCACTGAGACTCATTACATCAGTTTGATCCCTGGAACCCACATGGTCAAAGGAGAAAACCTACTCTCACAAGCTGTCTGCATTCATTTGTTCCCTTACCAGTGTTTATTGGTTCTATAGTTGCATCTTGTTCTAAAATTGATATTCTGAACCTAACCTGGCACTGCAGCCTCAGATCCCTCCTCAAATATGCTTGTGTTCCTCTATACCTGAGTCTGTATCATCCAATTAACACTGGCCATTAGACACTGTGTGTCTGTTCACATGATCTGCTCTTCCTTTAAATGGTTCTTTCCTATTTCCACACAAAATTTCATTTCTTCTTCAAATACAAAATTTACATGTGTTTTGTTTGGAAGAATAAGGATAAGCACGTAACAAAAAACCTTCTCCATAAGGCACTCTCGGATCATACACATCTTGCAGCACTTAATATTTTCTTATTTAAGCAATCCTAATTGCAATGAAAATATCACACATATATTAATATAGTCTTCATATTGTATAGCTCATGTTGCCAAATTGAAAGTAGATCCTTCTACTTTGCATCATTTGAGCTGCATCTCCCATTTCTCTCATTTCTCATTCCTCAGCCATGTTTTGTTCTATACCATCACATATTTAATTTTAAAAGATTCAACATATACATCTTATCATTCAGTAGTTTCCTCCATATGGCTTATTTAACTTAGTATAATACATTCCAGGTTCATCCAAGTTGCGGCAAATGTTAGCATCTTTATGGATGTCCTAAATAAAATACATATATCTAAAGCTCAAATGCTAAAATGCTAATACTCACGTGAAATGTTCATCTTGTTGGGTGTGTGTTACCTTACTCCAGAAGACTTTTTTTTTCCTAGATCTATCTACTTACCTACAAATTTTATTTTTATTTAACATCTGAATAACATTTCAACATGCAAGTGTACTACATTTTTATTAGCTCTTCATTTGTTGGTGAACGTCTAGGCTGTCCTGGCTTTATGAACACAGAAGAGCAGGTATCTCTGTAGTAAGATATGGTGTCCTTTCAGCATATGCTGGATCTTGTGGTAGATTAATTTGTAGCTTTCGAAGGAAAGAAACTCTCAACCTTTCAATCCAACTAGTAACAAATAAGTTGACGCTCCCGTATCAGAGAAGCAAGATGGTAATTAACACTGAGACCTATAACTGGGCAATACATAAAATTCAAGTAAGGGATTTTGAAGCACTCACTGTTAAATGGAATATTTTCACCATACTTCACCCTTTAAGGATCGGGGATCTATGTGGAAGAGGAGGCTGAAAGATTTTAAGAGGTGGAAGAGGTACATGGCTCTAAGGAAACAGTTTTCTAGGCACAGTGGAGGAGCTGCAATATGAACTCACAGCAACTGTGTTAGTGTACTTAAGATCTGTAAAAAGTTCAAGCTAGACAAAATCCCAGCACAAAGGAGAAGTAGGCAGAAAGTCCCATCCCTAACCAAGAAGCTATTTGCAACTGATACATGCCAGAAAAGAGAAAAAAATCATTTTTCTTCAGTGCAACAACATTAAATACATAAAGTACACTTCAAGGCAGGCCTTACGCCCAGGATTAGTTTGACAACACAATAGAGATGCCATGTTTCTTGTGTACATTTTTCCTGTTTTCTTTTTTTAAAGAGAGTAAGAACAGAAAGTTGTTTGGATAAGGAAGAGTAGAGGTAGAGGACCTGGGAGGAGTTGAGGGAGAGGAAAAAATGTGGAAATTCTCAAAATAAAACCTTTTGAAAAAACAAAAATGACAGGGCATTATTCATTTTTAGATTTTAACAATATTATTTGTATACAAGCACAATTTTATCCATTGTTCATCAATAGTTACTAGGCTTGTTCCATTTTTAGGCCATAGTTACTACTACTGTACTGAACATAGGACTATACTTGTCTCTGTGATATAGTTTTTCTTCAATATAAACCTATTGTTGAGTCATGTTATCCTATTTTCAACTTTGCATGTGCATATATATATGGGGGGGCATACTTGTGAACAGACACATGTAAAAGTCAGATTTCAAAGTATGTTGGGCATGTCTTCTTCAGTCTCTCTTTTGACTATATTGATTGAGCAACAAGCCACA